ATTATATATATAGGGATAAGTGTATATGAAAAGTAATAACAAGTACAATGGTTCTGCTGAATATCAAAAAGCAATTGATTTTTAGAAAAGGGATGTAATTGTGGTTGTTCTTCAAGAATTCCCAGGGAACAATTTGCAGAATTAAGGGAATCCTTTCAAACTCTTTCTAAATCAGAATAAGACATATTTTTAATGGTACAACTAAGGTTGCTTGCCAAAACTCATCCAGAAATCAATCAGCAGGGTTTTGGCAGGTTACACATTAATTGTTTATTAGAGTTTCGGCAGAGTTTCGCATTTTGAGGTTTCGCCTTTCGGCATAGTTTCAACAGGATTTTTGATAAGATTTAATATAGTTTTGCTGTGGTTTCAGCAATTACTAAGGAGGTTTCGCCCACAACTTTAGGTACAACTTAGGGCAATGGATGGTGGATTAACAAGCAGTAGTAGATGACTTAAAAAGAAAACTAGGTCTAATAAAAGAAATTTCTATCATTGGGATCACAATACACTTCTTTGTCAAGAAACTTACCTCAATATGTTGGGGATTGGCAGTACTTATTTTGAAAACATCAGAAATCATCTAATAAACAATGGTCTTTTACCAAGAGTTCATGGCAATATTAAAAGGTTGCTTCAATGGAAAACTAAAATGGTGATTGATAAAAATGTTGCAGAAGTAGTAAAGAATTTTCTGGGAAATTATGCTGAAGTTCATGGATTACCAAGTCCAGGAAGAAGTCACAATAGAATAACTCAATCTATTACATTCTTACCAGCTGAAATGAGTTATAAATCAGTGCACAGGAATTTTCTAGCTAGTCTAGAAGGAGATAGTAATTTGAAATCCTTAAAATATGATGCTTTCAGAAAATTATGACATCAATTGACACCAGAGATTCAAATTATGAGTCCCAGGACTGATTTGTGTGATACTTGTCAACATTTTAGAGATGGTTTACATTATAATGCTCACCAAGAGGAAGAAGCTAAAGATTTACTCAAAGATTTAAAGAACATTTGTCCAAGGCCAAATTAGAAAAAAATTATTATAATAAAAGCACCAAATTAGCAGAAGAACAAAGAAAACTGATTGATCAACATTATTCAAAGAGTAAAACACAATATTCTAGTACTGATGCTACTACTCATTATAGTTATGATTGAGCCCAAAATGTTCACATGTCACATTTAGATCAACAAGTAAGTAAAATTTATCTTAGTCCATGTAAAGTTCATTAATTTGGTATTCAAGATGAAACAGTAAAGGAACAAATTAATTATGTTCTTAATGAAGATGAAATTATAGGAAAAGGTCCTAATGGCACACTTGGTATGATTTTTGATGGAATTAAAAAATTGAATAAAGGTGAAAAGCATTTAATGATTACTTGTGATAATGCTGGTGGACAAAACAAAAATAACACTATATTTGATTTTATTTATATCTAGTAATTTGTGGTTATTATGAAAGCATTGAATTGAATTTCATGATTCTAGGACATACCAAATTCAAATGTGATGGTAATTTTGGCATGATTAAAAAACTCTATAGAAGAACAAGTGTAGATTGTGTAGAACATGTGGTTGAGGTGATAAAAAAGTCTAGTTCAGCAGGATTGAATAAAGGTTTTCAATACCTAGATATTAAACCAATTTTGGGAATTTATTTCAAAAAATTACCAAGTATACAGAAATATCAACATTTTCTTTTTGAAACATCTAATTTTGGTACGGTGAAAGTTCAAGTAGTTGTTAATGGACCTTTGACTGAACTCAATTTATTAAAAACCAAGAAAACAGATATTTTGATGAAATCAGATCTTTATCTATTTTAGTATTGACACTACCTCCTTTGGATTACAAGAGGCAAGAATACCTTTATAATAATATTCACCCATTTGTGAAAGATGAATACAAAGATATTACTTGCCCAAGACCAATCTATACTGGAAATGAATAGAATATTTAGAATAAAATCGTCTTCATGACTTTATCACTAGTTAATTTGTCCTTTACTGTCATTAAGCTTGACAAATATCATTAGCCTTTTCCACTTGTAAAAAAATACTAAAATAATTTATATACTTAATATACCTTACCTTACATAAAAAGGATATAAGTATATCAAAAGAATAAATAAAAAAAGGAAATCATGACAAACATCCTAAAAGAACAACAACAAGCAAACAAAGAACCATTAAACGAAATCAAAACATCAAAAAAGCAATTAGCTGATAAAGATCAAGAAACTGAAAAGTTTAAAGTGCCCTTACAATTTAACAGTTGAATAATGAAAAGATTAGATGATGAATAGCTACTATTTTAAGTGAAAGTCATTACACTAACAATCCTGATGTAGATGTAGTTGGTGAAATTATGAGAGTTTATTGTGACCAGGAAAAGTGATCTGGTTTTTGTAAGATGTTTCTACTGAACCAGTTCATAGGCATGTAATTCTTAATACTTATTAATATTATCCTTATTATAAGCAAACAGTAAACTTTACCAGGTAAGAGATAAGGCTAAAAGAGATATTTTTATTAACCTTATCAAGTTAAACTCTGAAGAGAGCAAAGAGCTATTTAGAAAGTGATTAAGAGAGGGCAAAATAGAAGATAATTTAACTCTACAAGGAATCATAGAAAAAGGATATGAAGGATGAAATTCAATCAAACAAAGTTGTTATGATTATTATGACCTTAGAGATCTTTCTCTTGATGAGTTAATTGGTGTTTCGAATGAGTTAGTTATTAATGCTGATAAAAAATTTGCTAAAATAAGCGAAGGTTGATGAATTAGAAGCAAAGTTAAAAGAAAAAGATAACCGAATAGAATAATTAGAAGACAGAATAGAAATTGAAGTCGAAACTAACTTGGAATCATTAGAAAAATCTTATGAATGACATGAACAAAAAGTCTTCGAAGTAGCCATGAGAAAGGATGTTTTCATCTTCGACCAGCAAATGATTATAGAAAAATTGAAAAAGTATTTGGAAACTAAGGATGAAGAATGACTAAGTTGGTTAAATTAACTGAACCTAAAATTAAGAATTTTCAACAACTTCGAAAGTTGGTAAATACAGCAAAAGAAAAAACTAATACAATTAAAGAAAGTGTTAAGGAAAAGTTTAATTGCTCACATCTTACAAAAGAATAAGTAATTGTGAAACTAGAATATAGAATTCTTGAGGTAGCGGAAAAAGATAACCAAGATTGTAATTATTGTTTACTAGATTTTCATTCTGGATACAGTTTAATTCTTAATGTTGCTACTCACCAGTTAGCAACATTTAAAGACAATGGCGATTATGTTTACATAGCTTATATTTGTGGCAATCGCAAAGAAGAATTAGAAAATGACATTCTTCCTCACTGTGAACTTTGTGGAAGACTAAAGAGGAACAGAAAAGGTTGCTTTTGTAATCTATTAGAAAATAGGTCAAACCAATTACTCTCTATGGAAGAAATTACCTAGAGAATAAAACTAGAACTAGAAAAGGAGTTATCAACTGTCAAAGAAGAGTTAAGTATTGAAAGAGAGGAAATAGCTAAGTTTCAGGAAAAATCTGAAGAATGAAGTAAAAAACGGAAACAAGAGTTATTGGATAAGATAAAGAGTTTAGAAGGAAAACAGGGAATTAAAAGATCAACAGAATGGACAAATTGCTCAAATCGAAACTAAAGAAACTAAGAAACGACCTTGATTGAAAATAAGAAAGTAATTTAAAAAATTTTCCTCTGTATAAATTGAAATTAATTCCAACTATCAAAGAAAATGATAGTTATTTCCTTTCAAAGATTTTTAGGTAATAATGCATCATCATGATGCTTTCTTTTTTAACATTTATTATTTGTCTTTCTTCTTGGTAAATTTCATAAGTTTCCTTAGATAAGCTTCAATTGCCTGAGTATCATTTATTTTAAAATATAAGGAGCAATTTTTTCACCTTGTTCCTTTTTTATAATACTTCTAATGATGCCGTAATTTTTTTGGTTTCAAAATCGAAACTAAAGAAACTAAGAAACGACCTTGATTGAAAATAAGAAAGTAATTTAAAAAATTTTCCTCTGTATAAATTGAAATTAATTCCAACTATCAAAGAAAATGATAGTTATTTCCTTTCAAAGATTTTTAGGTAATAATGCATCATCATGATGCTTTCTTTTTTAACATTTATTATTTGTCTTTCTTCTTGGTAAATTTCATAAGTTTCCTTAGATAAGCTTCAATTGCCTGAGTATCATTTATTTTAAAATATAAGGAGCAATTTTTTCACCTTGTTCCTTTTTTATAATACTTCTAATGATGCCGTAATTTTTTTGGTTTCATGGTAGATCTAATGTAAATGAGTTTCATATTAACTATTTTTATATAGGGGTAGTTCTACATATCACTTAACAAATGGGACATTAGACATTATAAAACTGTTGATTATGATCACATTACAAATGACTAAATTTGATCCCTGAAATCCTTAGTGGTGCAAATGTTCACTTTGTTGGTTTTGTTGCAATGTGCCCCAAATACACTATATTGTATGTATCAAAGGAAAATTTTTTAATTTATCAGTGGAAATATTATGATTCTTTTTTTCAAGATATCTTTACCTGAGGTGGGGGTATGTCAGCACCTAATAAGCTATCCATATTATCACAACAATAAATCTATCAACCTACAAGTAATTATGATCCCAACAAAGGAATTGCATAAAGTTTATATAAGGAGCTTTGACATGAAAGAGTTTAATCAAAAAAATATTAAAAAATATTAGAAAATATTTATTTACATCTAAAAAAAAACAATAAATTATAAATATTATGAATGATATCAATAATAAAAAATTTAATTAATTAAATATAATAAAGAACTTTTTACAAAAATGTTCTGGTTATATAAATAAGATATTAATAATGTTCTTTCTATTTTATCTATCTCTCATTTCTGCCATTTTTTTCCTTCCTTCTATCTATAACCATCCATATCATTATGTACAATTTTATGAATTGAGATTCCATTTTGATTTTAACCTTTCTATTTGTACTTCACCACGTCTTTTGATCTCATCAATAACTTCTTGTAATTTCTTTTCTCGATTTAATAATTGTGTTTCCATTTCTGTTATTTTAGATGTTAGAACATCAACTGTTAATGAATTTATATTATTATTAGTACCGCTAGTTTTATATTTTTGATTTGGTTGTTCATATTGTTGTTGATTATATGAATTGAATGCTTTTCTAAATATTGTATTTTCTTCTTTTAATTGATTGAAATGTTTCAACATGTTTTCATTTACCTCTTCAGCTATTATAGGATCATCAACTTCCTCTTCCTTTCTAATGGAAAGAACTTTGTTAACATTTTTTAATGAATACCCACCATCATTACTACCATTAAAAACTGACGGAATAATTGATGTTAACAATTCACGTTGCTTCTTAATCACACTTTCAAGTCCTATACATTTTCCTTTCAACATGTTAATCTCCATTTCTTTATCAGTGATTGATTTTTTTATTTCAACTATGTCACTATTGTCTATTATTAAACTGGATTTGTTTGCTTTTTGTAAAATTTTTAATGTGTTATCATGTGTCAATTTCCTAATCTCCTCAGAAATAATTAGTTCCGATTTCAACTTAATATTTTCTCTAGTTAAAAACTCAATCTGATTACAAAGTTTATCATGTTCTGATATAATTATTGTTGTTGTTGTTGTTGTTGCACTCATCATTGTAGTAGTTGTCATTTGTGTTTTAGATGAATTATTATTATTGTTTTTATTTTCAGTGGTAGTAATTGCAGTAGCAGTTGAAGAAGATGAATAAGGAGGAGGGGTTTGCATTCCATTATTATTGTTGTTGTTGCTGTTGCTGTTGCTGCTGCCGCCAGAAATATTCAATTGCTTCCCGTTATCAAAGTCATCATTACTATTACTACTATTGTTCTCACGATTTAATTTTCTTATATTTGCTTTTCGTTCCATTTGCAATAACTCTTGTAAATGTTGAACTTGTACTTTTAATTTCTTAACTGATGTGTCATATCCACTTCCCCAACTCATTTTTTCTCTAGAGAGAATCGCACTAGAGGGTTTTGAGTAGGCTCTGAGCTGTGTGCCAATACAGAGGCCTGGTATAGAGTATTGAGAACCCTGAGCTGTGTGCTGATACAGGGAGATTTATATATTGGACTTTTTCATTTATTTTATTTTATATATTTATTGGACACATCACAAGCCGTATTTTACACACTCACAGTATGCAATTTAAAAATTTATTATGTTAATTTTAGAGTTCATCTTTCTTTGCTCTTGTAGGTTGCATTTTACAAATCAAATTATTTACCTCAATGTAATAACCATTAATTTTTAAGTTTCAAAAATTAATTGTTATTTTGAAAAATATTGTGAGTTACTTTTCAACAAGATAAATTATGTGTTTTTGAACAGTTACTTTAATTATTGTAAAAATACAAGTTACCTTTATTTCTTAGAGGATAATCCTTTTTATGTTAAAAATACATAATAATATATAAATAATAAAATATAAATAAACTGTAATTAATCTTATTGTTATAACCTATTTGGAAGATATTTTGAACATAATAATAAACAATAATTGATTATCTCAAATAAATTAAGTAAATTTTGTATGTGAAACTGAAACTATGTGAAATCTAAAATTTTGGCTAATTTGAATTTCATGTATATACGTGAATTGCAAATTCACATAGATTTCATTTTCATGCACAACAAATATAAAATATAAATCACCACATGTGATTTGTTACAGCAATAATGACATTTTCTGTTTATTATCAATGATGATGTCTTTTCTTATTTTGATTATTAATGACAATAAACCAATTTGAATCTAAGCCATAATTATTTTTCATGGGGAAGTTGACCAACAAGTTGCTGAACAATAATATCTTTTAAATCATTTACCTAAAACTATTCAATTAATTCGTTCAAGTTTAATTCCTTTCCTTCAATTTTAAAACAATTATAAAAAACTACAAAGTGAACATAAAATTATAAAATTATATATATAGGGATAAGTGTATATGAAAAGTAATAAATATAATGGTTCTAATGAATATGAAAAAGCCATTGATTTTTTAGAAAAAGGTTGTGATTGTGGTTGCTCTTCAAGAATTCCCAAAGAAGAATTTGCAGAATTAAGGGAATCCTTTCAAGCTCTTTCCAAGTCTGAACAAAACATTTTTAATGGCATGGATCAAAGCAATAGGTGGTGGATCAATAAGCACTAGTAGACACCTTAAAAGAAATAAAAGAACTTTTTATCGATGGGATCACAACACACCTCTTTGTCAAAAAACTTATCTCGATATGCTAGGAATTGGTAGAAACTACTTTGAAAATATCACAAATCATCTAACAAGCCATGTTCTTTTACCAAGAGTTCAATTACAATGTAAAAAGAATGCCTCAATGGAAAACTAAAATTGGTAATTGATAAAAATGTTGCTGAATTAGTAAAGAATTTTCTAGAAATTATGCAGAAGTTCATGGATTACCAAGTCCAGGAAGAAGTAACAATAGAATAACTCAATCTATTGTATTCTTACCAGCTGAAATGAGTTATAAATCAATGCATAGAAATTTTCTAGCTGGTCTGGAAGAAGATAACAAATTGAAATCCTTAAAATATGATGCTTTCAGAAAATTATGACATCAATTGACACCAGAAATTCAAATTATGAGTCCAAGGACTGATTTGTGTGATACTTGTCAACATTTTAGAGATGGTTTACATTATAATGCTCACCAAGAGGAAGAAGCTAAAGATTTACTCAAAGATTTAAAGAACATTTGTCCAAGGCCAAATTAGAAAAAAATTATTATAATAAAAGCACCAAATTAGCAGAAGAACAAAGAAAACTGATTGATCAACATTATTCAAAGAGTAAAACACAATATTCTAGTACTGATGCTACTACTCATTATAGTTATGATTGAGCCCAAAATGTTCACATGTCACATTTAGATCAACAAGTAAGTAAAATTTATCTTAGTCCATGTAAAGTTCATTAATTTGGTATTCAAGATGAAACAGTAAAGGAACAAATTAATTATGTTCTTAATGAAGATGAAATTATAGGAAAAGGTCCTAATGGCACACTTGGTATGATTTTTGATGGAATTAAAAAATTGAATAAAGGTGAAAAGCATTTAATGATTACTTGTGATAATGCTGGTGGACAAAACAAAAATAACACTATATTTGATTTTATTTATATCTAGTAATTTGTGGTTATTATGAAAGCATTGAATTGAATTTCATGATTCTAGGACATACCAAATTCAAATGTGATGGTAATTTTGGCATGATTAAAAAACTCTATAGAAGAACAAGTGTAGATTGTGTAGAACATGTGGTTGAGGTGATAAAAAAGTCTAGTTCAGCAGGATTGAATAAAGGTTTTCAATACCTAGATATTAAACCAATTTTGGGAATTTATTTCAAAAAATTACCAAGTATACAGAAATATCAACATTTTCTTTTTGAAACATCTAATTTTGGTACGGTGAAAGTTCAAGTAGTTGTTAATGGACCTTTGACTGAACTCAATTTATTAAAAACCAAGAAAACAGATATTTTGATGAAATCAGATCTTTATCTATTTTAGTATTGACACTACCTCCTTTGGATTACAAGAGGCAAGAATACCTTTATAATAATATTCACCCATTTGTGAAAGATGAATACAAAGATATTACTTGCCCAAGACCAATCTATACTGGAAATGAATAGAATATTTAGAATAAAATCGTCTTCATGACTTTATCACTAGTTAATTTGTCCTTTACTGTCATTAAGCTTGACAAATATCATTAGCCTTTTCCACTTGTAAAAAAATACTAAAATAATTTATATACTTAATATACCTTACCTTACATAAAAAGGATATAAGTATATCAAAAGAATAAATAAAAAAAGGAAATCATGACAAACATCCTAAAAGAACAACAACAAGCAAACAAAGAACCATTAAACGAAATCAAAACATCAAAAAAGCAATTAGCTGATAAAGATCAAGAAACTGAAAAGTTTAAAGTGCCCTTACAATTTAACAGTTGAATAATGAAAAGATTAGATGATGAATAGCTACTATTTTAAGTGAAAGTCATTACACTAACAATCCTGATGTAGATGTAGTTGGTGAAATTATGAGAGTTTATTGTGACCAGGAAAAGTGATCTGGTTTTTGTAAGATGTTTCTACTGAACCAGTTCATAGGCATGTAATTCTTAATACTTATTAATATTATCCTTATTATAAGCAAACAGTAAACTTTACCAGGTAAGAGATAAGGCTAAAAGAGATATTTTTATTAACCTTATCAAGTTAAACTCTGAAGAGAGCAAAGAGCTATTTAGAAAGTGATTAAGAGAGGGCAAAATAGAAGATAATTTAACTCTACAAGGAATCATAGAAAAAGGATATGAAGGATGAAATTCAATCAAACAAAGTTGTTATGATTATTATGACCTTAGAGATCTTTCTCTTGATGAGTTAATTGGTGTTTCGAATGAGTTAGTTATTAATGCTGATAAAAAATTTGCTAAAATAAGCGAAGGTTGATGAATTAGAAGCAAAGTTAAAAGAAAAAGATAACCGAATAGAATAATTAGAAGACAGAATAGAAATTGAAGTCGAAACTAACTTGGAATCATTAGAAAAATCTTATGAATGACATGAACAAAAAGTCTTCGAAGTAGCCATGAGAAAGGATGTTTTCATCTTCGACCAGCAAATGATTATAGAAAAATTGAAAAAGTATTTGGAAACTAAGGATGAAGAATGACTAAGTTGGTTAAATTAACTGAACCTAAAATTAAGAATTTTCAACAACTTCGAAAGTTGGTAAATACAGCAAAAGAAAAAACTAATACAATTAAAGAAAGTGTTAAGGAAAAGTTTAATTGCTCACATCTTACAAAAGAATAAGTAATTGTGAAACTAGAATATAGAATTCTTGAGGTAGCGGAAAAAGATAACCAAGATTGTAATTATTGTTTACTAGATTTTCATTCTGGATACAGTTTAATTCTTAATGTTGCTACTCACCAGTTAGCAACATTTAAAGACAATGGCGATTATGTTTACATAGCTTATATTTGTGGCAATCGCAAAGAAGAATTAGAAAATGACATTCTTCCTCACTGTGAACTTTGTGGAAGACTAAAGAGGAACAGAAAAGGTTGCTTTTGTAATCTATTAGAAAATAGGTCAAACCAATTACTCTCTATGGAAGAAATTACCTAGAGAATAAAACTAGAACTAGAAAAGGAGTTATCAACTGTCAAAGAAGAGTTAAGTATTGAAAGAGAGGAAATAGCTAAGTTTCAGGAAAAATCTGAAGAATGAAGTAAAAAACGGAAACAAGAGTTATTGGATAAGATAAAGAGTTTAGAAGGAAAACAGGGAATTAAAAGATCAACAGAATGGACAAATTGCTCAAATCGAAACTAAAGAAACTAAGAAACGACCTTGATTGAAAATAAGAAAGTAATTTAAAAAATTTTCCTCTGTATAAATTGAAATTAATTCCAACTATCAAAGAAAATGATAGTTATTTCCTTTCAAAGATTTTTAGGTAATAATGCATCATCATGATGCTTTCTTTTTTAACATTTATTATTTGTCTTTCTTCTTGGTAAATTTCATAAGTTTCCTTAGATAAGCTTCAATTGCCTGAGTATCATTTATTTTAAAATATAAGGAGCAATTTTTTCACCTTGTTCCTTTTTTATAATACTTCTAATGATGCCGTAATTTTTTTGGTTTCATGGTAGATCTAATGTAAATGAGTTTCATATTAACTATTTTTATATAGGGGTAGTTCTACATATCACTTAACAAATGGGACATTAGACATTATAAAACTGTTGATTATGATCACATTACAAATGACTAAATTTGATCCCTGAAATCCTTAGTGGTGCAAATGTTCACTTTGTTGGTTTTGTTGCAATGTGCCCCAAATACACTATATTGTATGTATCAAAGGAAAATTTTTTAATTTATCAGTGGAAATATTATGATTCTTTTTTTCAAGATATCTTTACCTGAGGTGGGGGTATGTCAGCACCTAATAAGCTATCCATATTATCACAACAATAAATCTATCAACCTACAAGTAATTATGATCCCAACAAAGGAATTGCATAAAGTTTATATAAGGAGCTTTGACATGAAAGAGTTTAATCAAAAAAATATTAAAAAATATTAGAAAATATTTATTTACATCTAAAAAAAAACAATAAATTATAAATATTATGAATGATATCAATAATAAAAAATTTAATTAATTAAATATAATAAAGAACTTTTTACAAAAATGTTCTGGTTATATAAATAAGATATTAATAATGTTCTTTCTATTTTATCTATCTCTCATTTCTGCCATTTTTTTCCTTCCTTCTATCTATAACCATCCATATCATTATGTACAATTTTATGAATTGAGATTCCATTTTGATTTTAACCTTTCTATTTGTACTTCACCACGTCTTTTGATCTCATCAATAACTTCTTGTAATTTCTTTTCTCGATTTAATAATTGTGTTTCCATTTCTGTTATTTTAGATGTTAGAACATCAACTGTTAATGAATTTATATTATTATTAGTACCGCTAGTTTTATATTTTTGATTTGGTTGTTCATATTGTTGTTGATTATATGAATTGAATGCTTTTCTAAATATTGTATTTTCTTCTTTTAATTGATTGAAATGTTTCAACATGTTTTCATTTACCTCTTCAGCTATTATAGGATCATCAACTTCCTCTTCCTTTCTAATGGAAAGAACTTTGTTAACATTTTTTAATGAATACCCACCATCATTACTACCATTAAAAACTGACGGAATAATTGATGTTAACAATTCACGTTGCTTCTTAATCACACTTTCAAGTCCTATACATTTTCCTTTCAACATGTTAATCTCCATTTCTTTATCAGTGATTGATTTTTTTATTTCAACTATGTCACTATTGTCTATTATTAAACTGGATTTGTTTGCTTTTTGTAAAATTTTTAATGTGTTATCATGTGTCAATTTCCTAATCTCCTCAGAAATAATTAGTTCCGATTTCAACTTAATATTTTCTCTAGTTAAAAACTCAATCTGATTACAAAGTTTATCATGTTCTGATATAATTATTGTTGTTGTTGTTGTTGTTGCACTCATCATTGTAGTAGTTGTCATTTGTGTTTTAGATGAATTATTATTATTGTTTTTATTTTCAGTGGTAGTAATTGCAGTAGCAGTTGAAGAAGATGAATAAGGAGGAGGGGTTTGCATTCCATTATTATTGTTGTTGTTGCTGTTGCTGTTGCTGCTGCCGCCAGAAATATTCAATTGCTGCCCGTTATCAAAGTCATCATTACTATTACTACTATTGTTCTCACGATTTAATTTTCTTATATTTGCTTTTCGTTCCATTTGCAATAACTCTTGTAAATGTTGAACTTGTACTTTTAATTTCTTAACTGATGTGTCATATCCACTTCCCCAACTCATTTTTTCTCTAGACAATGCTACCAATTTTGCTTCTGCTTCTGTTGCTCTTTGATGTGCTGCATCTCGTTGCATAGTTCTTTCAACTATAGTTCTTTCCAGTTGTGCTATAAGCTGTTCAATAGCTGATATTTCTTGATTATCTCCAAGAATTCCAAACAAATCCATAATATCACTGGTAATAGGTAGTGATGATAAATCTTCAATGTCACTTTTACTGTTGTTATTATTGTTATTATTATTATTAATTGATGCTACCTTACCATTATTATTATTTGTGGTAACAATAGGAGGATTGCTACCATTCACATTATCACCAATTACTGTTGCTGTAGTGGTATTGGTGGTTGCTATACTTTGTGCTGCTTGTGTTTTTTCAACATAATCCTCAAATTCTTCTGTCTTTAAAAGATATGCATTTTGATAATATTCTAATTGTTCCTCTTTTCTTTTTAATTTTGCTACTAATTCTTCAATAATTGATTGTTTGGTTTCTATTTCATTTAATAAGTTAGTAATGGATTGCATAGGTTGTGGTGGCACAGGACTGCTAACATTTGCAGTAGAGCTGGATTCAGTTGCATCTGGTGGCATCTCCAACAACAATTCTTCCATTTCATGCATTTTACGGTCATGTTCTTCTTTTTGTACTTTATACTCTTTTCTAAGGTTTTCAATTTCTTCCTCAAGTTTATTTTTATCTCCATTCAATATATTTGAATCTTTCTCAAATTTTTCTTTCATTTCTCTAAGCTCATCTTCTAATTTGGTATTTTTATCATTCAATTCATCAATATATTCTTGAATTGCCTCATCTTCTGTTAAATCTGTCCTTCCACTCTTGGCACTAATATTTGATACTATTGAAGGTGTTGGACTTGCTGTACGACTAACATTTGAACGTGGTAAAGCACCAATAGATGATTGTGATGTAGATCTTTTTAAGGATTTTGCTGTTGTTGTTGGAGACCTAGGAGGTTCTTTGCTATATCCATATAAATCTTTACTACTAGTAATATCTGTAACAGATTTACGCCTTTTCTTTGGTTGCAAAAGTCGCATTCTTCGTAAATCATTATATATTTTTTCAAATTCTGGTGAACTATTATTAGCCATATCTTCTACCTTATCAAGTGCATTCTGTAATTTCCTAAATCTAGTTTCACGTGCCTCTCTTGAATTAGCTTCTTTTTTAATTTTTTCTATTTGTGACTCATATGTATACTTCATTATATTCATCTCTTCTGTCAGTTTCTCCAATGATGCCGTTTTAGAAAAATTAATCTGTTCAATTTCTTCATTTGCTTCAGATAATTTTCGCTCTAATTCATCTATTTTAATAAAATCTTCTGTTTCTCTATCTCTCAAATCACTCACTTCTTTTTTCAATCCTTCCATTTCTTTAAGTGCCATTTCCTTAAACTCCAATGTCTTTTCTTTTTCTTTTAATTTTTCAATTTCTTTTTTCATCTCTTCCATTTGTTGCATAGTTTCACCTGGCACAACTACTTGATTTTCTTGAAACAGTTCTTTCAACTGTTCATTTTCTTTACAAAGTTCATTAACTCTATTTAATAGACTTCCTTGTTCATTACCAGAATGCCTAAATTGTTCATTCATTTTCTTCAATTCATTAACTAATTTATCATTCTCTTGCTGGTAACTAGAAACTAAAGCTTCTTTATCATCAATTTCTCTTTCAATTCTTGACAAATCCTCATGTGTTAAAGCCAATGGTTCATGTTGCTGTTCAATCAAATCTTTAATATCAAATTCATAATTTTGTATTTTATTTCCTGCTTCCCACAATTCACCTTTTAAATATTCTATTTCAGCTTCTTTAGATGCAATAGCATGCATCAATTCTTGATTCCTTTTTAGAAGATGTGACTTCTCAGCAAGTGCCACAGTAGAATCTTGATACCTTTTTGAGAATTGATTCAATGTTTCTTGAAACTGGGTATTAATCACTTCTAATTCATTAGATATCTCATCAGTTTTCTCCTCATTTTTTTTATTGGATCTTTGATAGTCAATTGAACTTTCTGATGAATATTTTGTATGAACTGGAACAATCCTTGAATTTGCTCTACGTATAATTGCTCTTTTTTTTATTAGACGTGGTGAAGCAGGTGATCTGGTCATGTATCGTTGTTCTTTATGAATCACATGATTAACATTTGTGTCAATGGTTATAGAAGGACTATTCTCTGAATTACTGGTTTCATTAGTAGTGGTGGTAGCATTAGGATTATTTTTAGAATTCTTAGGGTCGTTTTTGGTATTAGTTTTAGTAGCATTATTGTTAGTATTGGTGGCAGTGGTTATTGATCTATCTTCTTCATCTTCTTCATCCTCTTCATCCTCATCATCCTCATCATCAATTTTTATTTCTTTTGGATCAATATTTAAAATTTTTAAAATATTTTTATGTGAAATTGATTTAATGTAATCATCTTCTTCACCTTCTTCATTATCATTAACTTTATTTTTTGATAAAATTGTTGATTTTTTTTTATCATTTTTTGTTGTAGTAGTAGTGGAAGTATCATCGCCTGAATAAATTCCAATTAGATTAGCAAAACGGGCTGACAATGAAGGTCCACTTAACAAATTATTACTATTATTGCTACTGCTACTATTATGGTTGTTGTTATTTTGTTTTTGTTTTTGTTTTTGTTTTTGTTTCTTATCATTTTTTTCTTTATTGTTTAACTCTTCAACACTTATTTGTCGAGCGGCCACTTCTAATTTTTTTTTCCTGATTATTTCATCAATCATTTCTCTTGGGACATTTGGAACAGGCCGCATTGTGAAAAGAAATTTTTTAATATAGAATGAATGATAGTTTGCGTTGTGTTACTGAAGATCAGAATTTATAACATCCATCCATTCATACACACACCCGCTAAAAATTTTGATAATAAATCATGTGATGTTCAACAAACAAGTTTACTTTTTCAATAGCCATAAAGCATCTTGACTTGAAATAGGAGTGTCTCTTTGATGTCTTCTTCATCCTGATTTTCTTCATTAAATTCGACATAGCAAATCATCATCATCAATGGAAAGATATTCTAAACCAGATAAAGGATTCGTAAATACTTTTAGTTCATTACATTATACCTTATATCATTTATTTCAAATAATCGTTTTAATTTTTTTGTTGGATTTTTATAGACAACATTTTTTATTTTTTATTATTTTGCGATTATTATTATGGGTAATAGTTAGAGATGTGCAGATCAGTACTATACGTATATTGCGTATAGTTCTAGATATGAAAAACATTTACGCCTTTGTCCAAATGCCACAATTCAAATTAAAAGAAATTATTTTGGAGAACATTTTAATACTTCAAATACTAGTGTACAGATAAATTACAACGTAATTGAGAAATTGATGAAAATTCCATCGAAGAAGCTGATGAAAATTTTATTGAAGAATCAAATAAAAATGAAAGCAGTTTTGATTTTTATGATATTTTAATTCATTAATAATTCAATTAAATGTATAAATGAACCCTTTAGTTATAAAAGTGTAGGTTGAATAAATTAAAGATTTAATTGCTGCAATGTTCATGCTTATCGTAATAGCCAAATAATAATTATAATAGAATTTGTGGGACACCCCAATACTATACGTATAATAATGTTGAAGTTTGATTGGGTGATTTCCAAATATAATACATCATATGATTTACATAGTCGATCACATATATAAATTTTCATTAATAAGGATTTTTTAGGGTTTTGCGGATTTATTATTATTTTTTTGGTGCCACAAAAAAATTTTAAAAATTACTTTACTAGCAGTTCAAAATATAATAACAAAACACAACTTTGATTAGAATAATTATTATTATAAATAAAGAAGTTACGAGAAATTGTATAATAATATTTTTAATGGCTGTAAATTGTTTGTTTGGCTAGTACAGTGCCAGTCACAAGTACACATCCAATTGTTTCAATTTTAAAATTTTGATGATCTTTCCAAAATAAGCAATAAACAAAATTTAT